GGAGAGCTAAACAGCGCCCCCTGTGGAGAGCTCAGGTTCTTCATCTGCTCTGTCGAAGGCAGGTATGTACAAAAAGTTTCCTGATTATCAAACTTCAGGCATTGATCAAATTAGTTATATACCCCTCTGCCCCTTACCCCACATACAACTGTAGTTGACAGGGATAGAGAAATTATTGGGATTGACTCACTTTTGGAGTCTTCAGGAGAGAAAGGTGAAAAGATTGATTCCACGTTTTATAGCTGCAGGCCTAATAAGAAAATACAGTCGGCAGACAGTTAGCTTAGCTTAGCATTAAGACAATGCTTGATTTATTTTTTGGTATTCTGATTTCTAAGTTCTGAACGATGCTTTTATCATATATTTGACTGCAGAACAAGTGCTGTTTTTAATCTTCTTTGTTTATTTCCAGCTCTGAAGTCCTTCCCATCGACAGGAAACCAGTTGAGTCAGGTGAGTTAACTGGTTTAAAATGATACTTCAAGTATTCAAGTTTAATGGACAAAGAGGAGGAAAAATGATCCCTGTCAATAACTATTATATTAAACATTTTTGGATGGAGATGTCTATAATGGTTGGTGACCCATGTATGGAGGTGGTGGTCCTCTAGACGGGTGGCCCAAGTTTGAGTCTTACCTGTGGCTCCTTAACCGCATGTCGATCCCCTACCTGGTTTCTTGCTCTGTCCACTATCCTATCCAATAATGGTGAATAGCTCCCCAAACAGTTTATATAACAGCTGTATGAATGTGTTTTTTGCATTTAACTGCTGTAGATGTGTAATGTGCTAATTTTAACTATGTTATTTAGCGTTGGGCAGTTGAATCTAAAGAAATGTTCTAACCTTTTGATTCTAGTATTAGTTTGTTTTTCTTCTCTCTAAGACTTGGTCCCCGGTGTGAGAGTGTTTGATGTTGTTTGGAGTTACAGCGACATGTTGGCGGAGGACATTCTCCGCTCGTCCTCTTTCGTCAGACAGTTCCGGACGGGTCAGCTGACGCAGGGCTGCTACACCAGCTTCCTCCAGCAGGAGGCGCTCTATCTGCACAGAGTCAGAAGCACACTGGAGGTGAGTGGAAACCTTTTTCTTCCTGTGTTGACTTGACTTTTTTTTTTTCAAACTGGACCTGTATCCTTCAAAGGACTCTGCCTCTGTAGACCGCTCACGGCGCAGTGGATTGAGACTGGTGCAGCTGTTGTTGCCTGGCAACCTGGACCCTAGACAACCCCTAGCAACCTCGACATCTGCGCCAGAACTATCTAACATAACCAACGTCTCTTAACTTATTACTTCAAAGATAATTTAAAATTCCACCCTTTCAGTTTCTAACATATAGATTTCTATTTCTTAAATGTTAGTCTAAACTATTACTTACATTTAATAGTGTATTAATAGGGAAAAGTAGGACGCGTTTGTTGGCAGCATTTGAAGGAGACTTCGAAGCATACTTCAACCGCAGCACTGTGTCTTCTAATGCACCCTCCAAAGGATGCAGCCCCTGAAGTGAAACACAGCTTGTATGTGCTGTCCATCCTTCTGTTTGTTTGTTTGTTATTGATTTTATTGTTTGTTCTGTTTGCTTCTGAGATGAACTGGTGTGTAACCAGGTGATGATGTAATGGTCTTTTTTGATTCCTTCAGGCTCTGGTCAGCAGCGTACAGGAACCAGACGACGTGAGATCACTGCTTCAGGACACACTGAAACACTACAGCAGCACAAACCAGGTGAGACGCACACAGTGGCTGTGATTATAAATAGCATTGACCATATTCACACGGCAGCCATTTCCCTCTGATTTCACACTAAGCGGTGAGTTACGTAAATATTAACCCACCTGTGAAGTTTCATGTTTTATAATGAGCTAGAAGCATCTTTATTTCTGTTGTAAAGTGTTGTGGATTTTTCTGTTGGTAATGAAAGCTCTCAAGTCAAAGTCTTTTGTCTTTGTGTATTTTATTGCATATAGTAAACAGTTGTAGGTATTTTGCATATACAGGAGTGATACACCGTCACTGGTTTCAGCTTGCCCTAGTGACTACGCCTTCTGCCTGTTTGCCTGGTGATTTATCTATGCAAGCTTCTTTCTATAAGGCACCTGGTACGGAGGAACACCAACAGAAACTCCTTTGTCAGGAGGGCACTGATTTAGGATCATGCTGTACCCAGATCCTGAGGAGTGTTCCTGTTGGAGATACAGACCGAGGCCATACAGAGAAACAGTTTCTAATTGCTAAATGACGCACGATCATCCTAATCTTTTAACGTCAAACGAAGACAACAGACAGATAGTATTTTTCCACTCCAAAAGTTGTACCTTTTAACATGGGGCTCTTTGGGGATTGACTCACTTTTCAAGCCAGCCTCTAGAGGCAGTTTGAGGAACTGCAGGCTTTAATTTTCAAACTTAATTCACTATATTGTGGAGAATAATGTGAACAGATTCATTCAACTATTCATAAATAAGATAAATATGAAAGTTTTTAAAACTATAAATCTCTCCTCTTCAGACCACCCTCACTTCCCCTCCCCCACCCTGGCTCATCTGGGCCCTGCAGTCTTTCCACTCAGTGGTTTTGGAGGATCCCATCTACCTGCTGGTGGCTCTGTCGGCCCGATCCAGCCTCAGAAGCCTCCTGATCCAGGATCAGGAGCTTCAGTCTGGACTCGAGCAGGTGTCTGGGTCTATCGTTACAGCTGAGAGTCTCTATCAGGAGTGGAGACAGGACAGTCTGAAAGAGGTCACCTGGATGCAAAGGTACATACGCATTTTAAAATTGTACTGAAGTAGATGTACAAAAATGTCTTTGAAGAATAAGAGTAATGGTTGCAGAGAAAAAACAGCAAATTTACACTTATGTTAAGATTAATTACTTTAATACCTTTGCATGGAACAAAGCTGACCGTTTCTTTATGCTAAGCTAAGCTAACCAGCTGCTGGTTTTCGATTCATATTTATTTACAGTAGAGTTCTTCTCACTTTACTCTCCAATAGAAATTACGTTAACATTGGTGAAGCGGATGATTCTGTTTTCTGGTGTTAAAAGTTGTCTCTCAAGACGGTCTGTGTGTGTGTGTGTGTGTGTGTGTGTGTGTGTGTGTGTGTGTGTGTGTGTGTGTGTGTGTGTGTGTGTGTGTGTGTGTGTGTGTGTGTGTGTGTGTGTGTGTGTGTTTTACAGGTACATGAAGTTGATAGAAGAACACCGGGCCAGTCTGGAATTGTTTAAAGCCGTAAACATCTTCAAAGAGCACATGATGAACCAGAAAAGTTTCTACAAGTCACTGTAAGAAGATACCAATAATCTGTGTGTGGATGAATCTGTGTGTTTGTTGATCAGGGGTTTTAAACGTGTGTTTCTGCTGCAGAGACTGTGATGCAGAGGTCCTTAGATGAGGAAGAAGAAGAGAGTAACGGGTGCCGCAGGTAAAGAGGTTAAGATATTTAGCTTATAAAAGTATGAAACGCACCTCTAACCTTAAACTTTAACTCTATGTTTTCTGTTTTTATCAGGACAAAAAAAAACAGACGACTGGAACGGGCTCCCTCTACACAACTGGAAATTTCCCCTCCAAGCTTTTAGGTGCATGAGAAGTCACAGATGGATTTTCAAGAAGGGTTTTTTACATTGAAAAATAATTTAACAAAAAGGCGTGAATGACAGATGTAATGTAGGAAAAACGCAAAACACCACGCGTTTAAATATGAGCTGGCCTACCAAGTGAGGGTATGGTTGCCTGGGAAAACGTACCAAACCGTTACCAAACCAAACTAAATGGAACCAATCCGGACCACTTGGTGGATACTGGGCTATAGTGAATATGGACACGGATCAAACCATTTAAAAAACCAAACAAGTGGAGGAGTTCAACATGAAGACAAAAACAAGAAAAATGTAAGTAAACAAGAGGTCTATAAGTTTAAATATTTATTCAACACCATCACAGAAAATACAAATTAAACAAAAATTAAGAAAAATCTGTTAACTATTAAACCCCCCTTTGTAAGAACTTGGTACAGTCTGATTGGAACACTGACAACTAAAAAACAAATATGAAAGCTTGCCGTTACTGTACAGAGTAAATGTCAACTAATGAAGTGACAATGATGTTAAATTGTGTTTCAATAGGTCTGTTTGCTTAAGCATGTATATTTGGAATATAGCAAACTGTTCATGAGGTCAAAAGGAAGAACTTAGAACTCTTAGCTGAGTGTGTCAGTGAGAGTGGGAGGATTATAGGTTTTTAAATTAACTGTGTGTCTGCATTAGAGTTAAAAATTGGTTGAATATTGAAGTTCAAGTTCAAGTTATCTTTATTAGTCAAATGCACAACATAACAGGCATAGCAGTCATAGCTGGCAATGAATTTTTTGTGTTCCAAGCTCTCCTTAACAATGCAAAAATAAAAAATAGTATAGAAGATAAGAGTAAAGAGTAACAACGTACAGTGCAACTGAACTGCCCTCATTTTGTGGGCGGAGCCAGTCACTGTTGACTTCTGTTTTAATGAAATATGAATAAAACTTTTTTTACCAGCCTTCTTGTAATTCAGATTTTCATTGACTAATTTACCTTTTTATACTTCCAAGTGCATCTTTGACTGGAGTTTTCTGAATTCAGACAGCTGTCTCTGTCTCCCTCTGCAGGCCAAAACAGGACACTGCACTCTGTAAAATACACAGGTCCTTCAAATACACAGTGTCTGGTGCTTTTGATACTTCTTTAACAAGTATCCTACTCTACAATTATGTACTAGTTCTATCGCTATATAAACCACTAATATCATTAATACATAAAACCCATAACTACTAACAAATCTTGCTAGCTTTTAAGTGATTTATAAAGTATAATAAAGATGCTTCTTCTAATTTAAATATGACTTGTTTCCTGCAACTGTCACCATTGTAGGTGTTTTCCGACCGCAAGAACTTCTTCATAGTTCTAGGAACTGTTGGAATCCTTCCCCTTTTTTATTGTTTCTGCACCGCAGGAAGTATAGTTCCTGGAAAACTGTTAAAAGGAACCTTTTTAGCTCCTGCGTCAGAGTAGGTACCATCGCGGTGCAAATGCAGAAAAAAAAAAGTCCCCATGGTTTGTAGTCCTTAGGGAATTCACAAGTGGATAGTTCCTCTTCAAAAAGTTCCCAGAACTGTTTGGTCCGAAAACATCTACTGCTACTACTACAATAAGTACCACTGGTTCTGCTTTAAAGGCTGCCACTATTTAAACTATTACTGTACTCATGAATGAACTACCGCTACTACTAATAGTCCAGATTCTGATTCAGATTTAGACAACTCTATTTATCCCAGACGTGCACTTCAGTGTCACGGCCTTCCGAGTCGTTAAAGGAGGATTAACATGTCAACAAATCAGAAACCAGATCTTCAAAAATACAAATACAATGCCAGAAATGTATTCAGTCGATGGATCAATGAATGTTGTTTCAAGACCTGACCATAACCAATTAAAGTTGTTCGGCATCCAACAGCATCAAAGAGTTCTGCGTATCTGTTTGTTCTCCTTGGAGGGGCATGGTAACGCCATCTAGATGGCATTAAAGGAAACAGAGGGGAAAGCATGTTTCCAAGTTGATTTATGATCCCTTTTGCATTCTGGACCACACGCTCCTTCCACAGGGAACTCGAGTCTTTCAGCTGGACGACCCGATGATCTTTGAGCAGACTTTTACGATGTGGTTGAGGCTTTCACAGACAACCCGTATAACTGACTGTAGTGTTGTAGTCAAGGCAACACTAACCGAGGTCAAGACTTACCCGAGACCAGAGTGCTCCGAGACTAAAACATTTAGGAATCAAGACCAAGTCAAGACCAAGACCAAGACCAAGACATTCAGGGATCAAGACCAATACCAAGAACAAGACCAAGACATTCAGGGATCAAGACCAAGACCAAGACATTCAGGGATCAAGACCAAGACATTCAGTGATCAAGACCAAGAACAAGACCAAGACATTCAGGGATCAAGACAAGACCAAGACCAAGACATTCAGGGATCAAGACCAAGACATTCAGTGATCAAGACCAAGAACAAGACCAAGACATTCAGGATCAAGACCAAGAACAAGACCAAGACATTCAGGGATCAAGACCAAGACCAAGACATTCAGGGATCAAGACCAAGACCAAGACATTCAGGGATCAAGACCAAGACCAAGACATTCAGGGATCAAGACCAAGACCAAGACATTCAGGGATCGAGACCAAGACCAAGACCAAGACATTCAGGGATCAAGACCAAAAACAAGACCAAGACATTCAGGGATCAAGACCAAGAACAAGACCAAGACATTCAGGGATCAAGACAAGAACAAGACCAAGACATTCAGGGATCATTCAGGGATCAAGACCAAGAACAAGACCAAGACATTCAGAGATCAAGACCAAGACCAAGACATTCAGGGATCAAGACCAAGAACAAGGGAGGATGAGACGGAGACAAAACCAAGACCATCATCATGTGTGCAGCAGGCATGTAGCTTACTTAACACCATAACACGGGACGGTTGCGGCCGTAACCGGGGGAAATCAGATTATGAATTAATTGAAGTTATTTCTTCTTCCAGAAAAAGAGGCGTTTTCCTTCTAATCACAGTAATGACGTGGAAACATAGCCGATCAGTGGTGGTCTTGATAAAATCCGGAGTCCGCCCAGTCTGAGACCGAGACATGGTCGAGTAAAAATGCTTTCTATTCCGAGACAGAAAAAAAGTGGTCTCGACTCGAGACCGGTCTTCTGAAGGTCTCAGTCTTGTCTCGGAATCGAAAGCATTTTGACTTGATCTAGGTCTCGGACTGGATTTTAAATCAAGACCAGTCAACACCACCACTGACTGTTTTTCCACATAGAAGGAAAACACCTCTTTCTAAAAGAAGGAAAAACTTTAATTCTTTGACTTTTATCCCCGGGTTACGCCGCAACATTCCCAGTGTTACGGTCTAAGCGAGTGACACAAGATGATGATTTTTCGGTGATATATTTATGGTCTTGGTCTTGCCTCGGTCTCGAACCCTAAATGTCTCGGTCTTGTCTCGGAGCTGCTACCACTTCTCTTTGCTAATACCAAATACTTTTGATATTATTTTTGTAATTTATTATAAGAAACTAATTTTTTTTTGTATATATTCTCAAATGAACGGGTGAAATATGCAATTTTAATCTTTTTCAATTTTTTACATGTTTTTGGAGGGAATCTCTAACAGTGTCTCGCGAATCCCCAGGGGGTCCCGACCCCCACTTTGGGAACCGCTGGTCTACAGTATCAGTTTCTAACAGTACTGCTTATGGTTCCTTGTTAGCAACTGGTGTATCAACAGTTAGACTACTTAACGGTCCGTCCTTCTCGCAGGTTTCTGTCTCCTGAATGTACCCTCGGGTTCACTCGTGTCCTGCCCTTGTGCTATGATCCGGCACACACACACACACACACACACACACACACACACACACACACACACACACACACACACACACACACACACACACACACACACACACACACACACACACACACAGAATGAGAGAGAGTAAGAGAGAGAGAGAGAGAGAGAGAGGCGGAAACCTCCATCTGCCCTGCTCGGTGACCGACCCGTCATCCTCGGGCTCGGGAAAGAAAGGGATCATCTCCCCGGCGTTTGGTCCTCCTCACCGTGAATGAAGAAACCGGAGGAGAAACCGGTGAAGGTGTCAAAAGAAGGGGGAAAAGGGAGGAACTGTATCATGGAGGAGATCTATAGTCTATATATAGGCTATGCCCCGGACTGCACCACCACCACCGCCGCCACCTGCCCTCCTGGTACCGGTAAGTCACGGAGGAGACACGGGGTTAGGAGGGGATTGTCAGTACCGGAGGTCGGGTAAATGTCCGGTTATCGATGCTGACTGACCCGTGAAAATGACTTCTGAGGTCTTGTGAGGTCGGGTTACCGTTCAGCCATGTTGCAGGAGACCGAGAGGGAGGAGGGAGGAGGGGGGGGGGGTAACGGCTGGGCTCTTGACACCTGCCCTCGTTTCCGGTGACTGAAGGAGGAAAAAGATTATTCACAATGTCTAATTTGGCGGTTAGAAACGGTAGGAAAAGAGAACCGGGGATTGACTTTCTGACTCGGTGTGTACGGGAGTCTGAGTGCCGTTCAGCCATGATGCAGGGGGGGTGGAGGGGGGGGGGATATAAAACTAACGGCCGGGCTCCGGGGGGTTTTGACACCGACCGACCGACAACGAGGGGAAGACAGGGGGGGGGGGGGTGTTGTGGTGAAAACTGCTGCCCGGTCATATCGCTCCCCTGTGGGATGCGGATGCGGCAGCTCGTGCCGTGTCGCTTAGAGACGGAGGCTGAACGAAACGGGGTCGACGGGGGTAGCGCGTGAACCGAGGCGACTGTCGGTTAAATCATTTTTACGTAATTAAAAAAAAATCGTATTTTTTAACTATATTATTAACATATTCGACAAAATATGTACATTAATTTATTCATATTTATATAAATTAAATGTAGTCTGCGTTTTTATTAGATTTTTTAGAATAATAAAATATTTTTTAATGTAATTATTTGATTCAATATTTTTTAATTAAAAGTGTAATGTTTAGTTTATTTCAATTTAATAATTCGATTCAATATATTTATATATTTTTAATTTATTTGTATTTCTAATAAATTCAATCGATTTAATTTTAATTTTTAATTTATTTGATATTTCAATATTTTTAAATTTATTTTATAAACATGTATTTTAATGCAGTTTTTATCGTTAAAAATATATGTATACACTTTTTTATGCTAATAAAACTATATACCACATATTTAATGCATGATTTTTTTTAGGTTAGGGTTATTTAATATAACTTAACTTACTAACCCATTTAAATCATATTTAGCACAGGTGTTGGCTGAAGTGTCAAAATATGATATTTCATCAAAATGCACCGGCAAGCAGAGCTCAGTTATACCAGCTGGTGGCAGGTGGAAGTGCTTATTGACGATTATTGATCGTAATTGATGATTGTTTGTTGGCTGGAAGGTCAGGCCAGGAGACGACACAGCACGGGTCTGTTACCATGGCGATAACACAAAATGATTTATGCCCTTATTGTTATTATTGGGACCATATCCATTCAATTATTAATTCATTCACAGATTCACTTTGTTAAAATGTCTCCTCTCCATCCCCTCCTCCCTTTATCTCCCCCTCTCTACCCTCTTTCTCCCTCACGTATCCATCCTCTCTCCTGTCCTCGCTCGCCCTTCGTCCTCACTGCTCCTGTCTCTCTATCTCGTCTCTCATCCATCTTCTCCTCCTCTCCCTCCATCCCTCTCCTTCTCTCTCTCTCTTTCAGGTCAATGAGAGGCAGCAACAGCTCGGTCCAAACACAAAATCCTCCCTCTCCAGTTTCTCCTTCGCCTCGATCGCTCCTTTTCTCTCCCTACCATGTTCTCCTCACTTCCATATGTTAACAAACACACTCGTCTTATTTTAGCATCACTGCCTTCCTCCTCCTCCTCCTTCTCCTCCTCCTCCTTCTCTCTTGCCCTCCTCTCTTCTGAGTTTTGACTCCCTCTCTTTTCACACACACTCACAGATAAACACGCACACACTCACTCACTCACACAACGGAAAATGAAGCGTGGGTCGAGTGTGTTGCAGCCTCCCTCTGATGCAGCCAAACGACACACACACCCTGCAAACACACACTCTGGCGGTGTCGGCAACGCCGGCTCTATGAGTGTGCCCGACACACACGCTGCCGACACACATGCTGAGCGCACAGCGGAAGCACACGCCACAGGTTCGAGTCCCTTCCCATCAGCCACCACTCTCTTTAGCCCTGATGTCAGCAGCAAGATGGCGTCCGACCTCCTCATCAGGCTGTCAGGTAGTACACACACGCACACACACACGCACACACACACACACACACACACGCACACACACACACACATACTCTATATGAGGATAATATAAAATTCTTTGGGAATTTGTTACAGATTAATTGATCAGACATTGACAGAAAATTGAACATTAAAAGTTTAAATAAGGGATCAAAAATCAAATGTATTGGTCAAGCAAAAAAATCAAGCAACATCATCTTTTTATTTGACATTGATATAAAAACCTTACAGTTCATTTACTGATCAATAAATAAAGAAAGTAAGTATTTTTTTAATCCCACTTCCTCAGTTTGGGAGGCTGGTGGCTGTCGACCAATGAGTCTGCTTCTGCTCGTTGAAAGAGGTTTTTTCTTTCCACCGTCGCTCATTTGAAATGATGAGTGCAACAGGGCGGTTACTCTTAAAAGGAATTTGAAAAAAAATCCCCGTTCAATATTTGTAGGAACATCCTGACTGTTGACGTGAATGCTATGTTTCCTCGGTATGATATCAGAGTGTGTAATCTTAATGAATCCTCTTGTGGGTGAATAGAAGCACATCAGTTCTCTTTGAATCTGTTTACACTTAACTCCAAATCAGATC